AATCAGGTACAAATAGCTGCTAAAGGCTACTTTGACTTTTTCCACTTTGTTTTTTCCCGTTTTATTCCAACCTATTCTTATAAGTATAAATTTGAGACAAATTTGAGTCTTTTTGACCGATTCATTAAAAAGAACCAATTCCAAAGAGTCATTCATTTGGGAACCTGATTGTGCTTTTTTTTTTTATTAATTTTTTTCTCAGTGCAGACAGTGAAGACAACACAATAGGAAGATTTGATATAAATTTATTGTCTTTGTTTTGTTTTGTCTTTCTTATCACAATCAATATTTCAATGCTCAGATTTACTAAGGGAAAATGTGCGTGAGACCGCAATCCCATAAAAGCACCATTGGGAGTGGAAAGTTCTGCTGGTGATCTACATTACAGACAAATGTGCAAATAATTTCCATAATGACCAATACAGTCTACCAAAAGCAGCGCAAATTAGCTACTATCACAGCCGCAAAATGGGTTAAGACATGACCGCAAATACCAGTAAACTGACTACCACAAATCTTTATGTAAATACTCTCCTTCCATAAATTTTGCGTCTGTAAGGGAATCTCTTACAAATGCTTATGCAATAAGGACAGCTGAAAAAATATGCCTTTTCATTGCTATTTTTTCACTGCATGTCTTTAGTAAATTCTGTCAGTTGTTTTGCAATGCCAAAAGAGGGTTTGCATTGGTGCTGTTAGTAAATCTGGCCCTGAGTGCCTACATAAGAAACTATGTGTGTACAAGAAAGATACACAATCACGTTACATTTAATCATTTAGCAGATGCTTTTATCCAAAGCGACTTACAAATGAGGAGAATAGAAGCAATCAAACCAACAACAGAGCAAACATATGTAAGTGCTGTGACAAGTTTCAGTTAGTCTAATGCAGTACACATAGCAAGTTTTATTTTTATTTTTTTTTATAAATAAAAAGAAAACAAGTACATAGAATAGAAAAAGAATAGAGAACGCTAGTGTTATAGGGTCATTTTTTGTTTTGTTTTGTTTTATAATAAATATAAAGAAAACAAGTAGATAGAATAGAAATAGAATAGAGAACGGTAGTGTTAGAGGGTCAGCGTTTTTTTAATAAATAAAAAGAAAAGTAGGTAGAATAGAAATAGAATAGAGAGTACAAGTGTTAGTGGGTCAAGCTTTTTTTTTTTTACAAGGAATTTCTACTGCTGCTGAAAAGAATTATTGTGTGCATGTGAAAGTCTCAGGTTTTTGATGTAGATGTCATTTAAGGTGATGTCTACAATTCATTTCAATTCAATTCAAGTTTATTTGTATAGCGCTGAGGTCATGAATGCATGAACTAGCTTTTCTGCATCAGAAACAGGTAACATATTTCGTAGTTTGGCAATGTTTCTAAGATGGAAGAATGCTGTTTTTGTAACATGGGAAATATGATTTTCAAAAGACAAGTTGCTTTCTAATATAACACCCAGATTTTTGACTGTAGAGGAAGTGACATTACATCCATCTAGATACAAATTGTAATTAAGAGATTCTGTGTACTGTTTTTTTGGTCCAATAAGTAATATCCGAATTAACAGCAGAAAATAATTGGTCATCCAATCTTTTATATTTTTAAAACACTCTGTTAGCTTAAATAATTTAGATGTTTCATGTGGTCTTGTTGAAATATATAGTTGAGTATCAACAGACAGATCTTGTGGCACTCCATACTTTACTTGCATTAATTGAGATGATTCCCCTTTTAAATAGACAAAGTGATAATGATCGGACAGGTAGGATCTAAACCATCTTAAGCCTGCCCTTGAATACCTGTATAGTTTTGTAATCGATCTATGAGTATGTCATGATCTATATTGTCGAACGCAGCACTAAGATCAAGTAAAACTTGCAATGAGATGCAGCCTTGGTCTGACGCAAGAAGCAAGTCATTTGTAATTTTAACAAGTGCAGTTTCTGTGCTATGGTGGGGCCTGAAACCATTCAGACCATCAACTCACTGAAATTCAGTTGACTATAGTGTAAATTTAGTAGCAATTGTGGAAACAAGCTTACATTGAAGAACTGTTAATGGAACCAAACATCATGTTTAGAAAAAAACAATTAAAATAAAAAAACACAGAACTAGCTCTGAATAAGGAACTGGCTCTTCATTCCCACCCTTCTGGGGCCTTTATTAAACTTTTCCTTTAATCTGTCTTCAAATCCCACTGTGCAAACTTCAATCTTCCTTTATCCTCCGTGTCAATAAGGCTCATGATGAGTTTCTTTCTGCCTCGGTGGAGTGAAATGAATAGTAATGCTGATTGGTTCGAATCCCATGGGGTCTCTGATGTTGTTTCCATCGCATGATATGATTATATGTCTCTCTGCTCTTGAGATCTCTAACTCTCTGGCCCCTCGGCTATGATTCGGTGGTGAGAGTGATCGCTGTTGTCATTAACAAGGAGCCTCGAGATGTGAAATGTTGCACTCAGACTGCAATGCGGGCAAACCGGAGGGGAGGCCGGGATAATAATGGTGTGTGTAATGATGTTTGTGTGATCAGCGCCCACCGCTAGAGCTGCAGGCTACGACAAAACACACGCGTGTCTGTGTGAATGAGGACGACCCTCTAAACAGACGTGACCTCAATGAAAAAAGAAATGCAGAGGCGGGAGTAACAATGAACTATGTCAGGCAAAAGACTTACCCAGTCAAGCATAGACAACATGCATCCTAATAGTCTGGCTGGCTAGGTTTGAATCTCTGAGACGAGAGGTCAAAGGGTTGGGAGAGAATTAAACTGCCTGTGGAAACTAAATGAGGAGGGGAAATGTTTTAAGATATGAAATGTTGGCAAATATCTGCCTAATATCCTACAATCCTGCATGCATGCATTTCAAAGACTGGTTGAAAGAATAAAAATGGAATTTGAAAGTGAAAGTGACTGGTTAAAAGAAGTCTATTTTTTTTATAAATGCCATTTATCTGACTCCATTTTTACTGATAAATAAGCATGGTAGTCAGTGAGTATTTGCTTGGCTGTGTTTAAAACTCACTTGACTTTGTTGTTGACCATTAAACCTGACAGCAATTCAGTTTCATTAACATTCTTAAAGTTCCGCTATTACGCCATTTTGAATATTGCCTTTCATGCAGTGTGTATTGTAGCTGTCTGTGAGTCGACGGGAATTCAAATCCCACTTCCGTGATGGCTACACGTCACTGGGTAACACATTTTCATAATGCCCGACTATGTTCTATGTTGGCCGGCCGTGAACAACTTGACTCCGCTCTCAAACACTGTAGCTTGTTCGTGTGGTTAACATCATGTCGAGAAGATGCTGTGTCCTACGCTGTGAAAGTAAATGTATTTTCACTTCCGAATGATGAGGCTGCAAAGAATCAGTGGTTGACATTCGTTTTTTCAACGATACCACAGCAGTACAGCCCCAATCTTTTTTTGTTTTTTTTGTGTTCCCCTAATTTTACTGATGACTGCACAACAGACTGGGCCGTCTGACCAATCAGAGCAGAGTAGGCTCACGGAAAGGAGGGGTCTAGAGAGACTGAATCTTAGAACTGCTTCGTATGAATCATTTACGAATCATTGAGAAATGCGGTGAAATTAAATGTATATTATGAAAAAACTAAAGCGTTTTTTGACCTTGCATGCATGTAAAGCTGTTGTAGGAGACTCCCAAAACAATATTATGAGCATTAAAAATGGCATAATAGGAACACTAGAGGTTTATGTGTTTTTGTGGACAAAACAGTCTGGAATTTGTTTGAGAGAGCTCAAAGTGTCTTGTAGAAATTGAAATCAGGCCTTTCTTGTTAACACATTCGATATCTTAATAAGTGTTTACGCAGATGTGCGGAATGTCCCATCTCTAGACACTCCGCCTTTAAGAACACAAGACAGTGAAGTAATAGATCACAAAATTCAATTGAACACAACTGCTTCCACTGAATAAAAAGGGAGAAATTTTGAAGAATACTAATGCTGCTTTTTATAATAAAATAAGAGTGAATCGGTTTAGGTGCTTTTAAGCTTCAAAATGACAAAAAAAAAGCACTATTAAAAAGTTTTACTTTAGGCCTTTATAAGCCATACAATGGCTTTCTGTAAATGATCAGAGGAATTTCATTTTTGAGTGAAATGCTGCTTTAATGTTAAACATGCTCTTGGTTTGGTCACGCTCATGTCTGTTATATTGGCTTTGTGACTGATGTCATGGGAAGTCAGACTGATTTCCATGAATAGTTCATAAAAAAAATAAAAAAAAAACTTTAGAAGAGGCTGTGTCCAAAATGCTGGTACTTAGTTTTTTTTAAATTTTTTAATTCTCAACATTTCTGATGAAGCTTGATGTAGGCATATCTTTTTATTATATTTTTTCCTCACAAATGTTTTATTATTAAGGGTTTATTGTAATTTCATGTGTCACACACTGCAAAAAGTGGTAACCTGCAATTGTTACTTTAAAGAGATATTTATACCTGATTTAACATAAAGTAGTTTTTGAGGTATAGATTAATATATTTAGGTTGATTCAGCTATATTAAAAAACATACATTTTTGACTTCAATAAATGCAGTTAATTTAGATTACTTTTTTTTTCAGTTCAGTCAAGTTTGTAAACGGTTCAATCTCTTGCCTAATAAACATCTCTTGGTTTTTGCATGTTTGTCACCCATAAACATATTTCCACTACTTTTTTTGCAATTAAAGTCGGAAATGTAAAGTCCGATGAAAAAGTGTGATTCCTTGAACCGGTTAATTAGATTCATTGAAAAGATCCGAATAAAAAACAATCGAACATCGCTGGGACACAGTAGAAGGAAACAGTGCGTGAAGTGACATTACTCACGTGAACTGCTCTAAAGCTGGATAATAAGTGAATAACTTCATCAGGAATGTGAATAACAACTAGTAGTCTGTTTTAGAGAGAGTTTGGAGAGGGTGGAGGTGTGGTTTCAGGGCGCGCTTGCCGCGCTTCGGCTCCTGATATTCATTTGGCGTTCTGCGCGCGAAGAGAGAACGACATGTACTTGCCCTGGAAGATGATGTCATATTGAAGGATTTTGTTGTCTGAAGATAATATTGTCTAATGACAATTATTAATTGCCCAATAGTTGTCTTCATTTCAGCCGCGGTGAGTGGATAACTTTTCTTAATATTTCCGCGATGCGTTTGATATCTAGTTCAGTGTAAAGGCTGTGAAATTTGAGGCTGAAACTGTCAAAGTTGAGCGTAACAGACGTTTGTGTTTCTTACATTTATTTTTTGTCGAATGTAGATTATATTTGAGTTTGTATATATTATCCAAAAACCATCAGCATTGGTAAGGAGACGTGTACAACTAACTGTTAGCATGTCACAATATAATGAAACAGTGCGCGTCAGGCTCAAGAGGATAGTGTAGTAGCATCATTCTTACAACATGAATATGCATAATCATTTCCCCACGAATCTCTCTTTCTCTGCCATTGTATTTACTATAGATACAAAACAATACCGAGCTCTTATTTTTCTTATGTGTCTCTTCTTTTTCTCTGTTACTGTAAGAATATGGCACATCATTGACACAGTGGCCCCAAAATATTTGGACACTTACGCAACAGTTAAACATTTTTATTTAATTGGAAATACCAAGTGGTAATTATTTTAAAGAAAGATAGCACAAACACCCCTACAGCATATTTCCAAAAAGGATGCTTGTTTTGGAAGATATACTTTTCAAAATGAAGACTAAAGTATTTAGACACTTTCTGGTTTTCAAACTGAAAGGCATAGTTCACCCAAAAATGAAAATTCTGTCATCATACTCGCACTTATGTTGTTCCAAATTTGTATGGGTTTGTTTTTTCTGTTGAACACAGAAGAAGATGTTTTGAAGAATGAACAACATGAGGGTGAGGTAATGATGACAGTTTTCATTTTTGAGTGAACTATCCCTTAGAAGTGTGTATTTTTTATTTTTTTTAATGCTCTGTTTCTTTGAGCAGCCAGAATCAGCACATTATAGCAACATTAGCTCAACCGATGGTGTGAGATTTGGGCGGGACTAACTGTTTGCCTAGCCAATGGCCAAAGGGAGTGTTTGGGAAACCTGTTTGGAAACATTTGGTCAGTCATAATTTGTAATTTACTAAATTGGATGAAGAACCTTTCCATTGCTGACAAATGACAATGTAGTCCCACATTCTGTAGATATACCGAAAGAGCACTGAGAGCTCAGTTTAAAATGTCTCAGATTAAAATGTTCTGGTCCTCTCCCAGCTGCCTCAATATTAAATAAAAATATAATGTTAATGAAATTTTCCTCGGTTTGTTGTAATGATAGCTAATTAGCGATGCTGAGCAGTATAATCTCCACCCATATGTTCTTTAATAGCAGGGGCCTTAAGTTAATAGGACAAACCTATTAATGATTTAATAGGCATATTGCTCACGAAGAGTCTTCATGCCTCTTTATTGTGTCTTCAAGAGTCTTAACTACCCCCCATCTCCAGGCTGTGTGTGTGTGTGTGCGCGCTCTTCTTTGTTGTCGCTGCCTCATAGTGTTTGTTATGGATCTCAAGATCTCAAAGAGCATCCAAAGACCAGCTGGATTCCCAGAGTGTGCTGAGATGAATTGGGCTCAAAACATCAGCTGCAGACTCTTCTATCACGAATAAAGCCATGGATTTGGTAGAGGAAGCCTCATCTCAGAACAGTATACAAGCGTCTTCAGCAGCAGCAGAATGTTTATACCATGTGGCTCTGTCATGGAAACACTATCCCATAATCACCAGCACACACTCCTCCGGCATCCAACCAAACTGTCTTTTTGATCAGAGCGGCCACATCATAATGGAATGTGCACTCTGATATATTTTAGTTTTGCCTATGACAGTATGCATCAGAAATACTATATTTGGCATAATCTTCTAAAAATGTTTGGTTAAAGGGATAGTTCACCCAAAAATGAAAATTCTGTCATCATTTACTCACCCTCAAGTTGTTCCAAACCTGTGTGAGTTTCTTTCTTTCTTCTGTTGAACAGATATTTTAAAGAATATTGGTAAGCAAACAGTTGCTGGTAGCCGCTGACTTCCATAACAGTGAAAAAAAATACAATGGAAATCAATGGCTACCAGCAATTGTTTGGTTACCAACATTCTTCAAAATACCTTCTTTTTTCTGTTCAACAAGAAAAACTAACAAGCTCTATAAAAATATCATAAATATAGTTCATACAACTTGTGTGTGTTATTCCAAGTGTTCCTACTTCATGTGGTAGCTTTGTACGAGGAACAGATAGATTAAAATAGTTAGGTCAATGACATATGCTCATTATTTGTCTAGATTTTTCAATTGATTTAAAACTAAAACTAAAAAAATGCAGTGATTAGAATACACCTCTTCAATGATGAAAATGAATTTAGGTTTTTTTTAGAGCATAAAGTAAAAAATGTTTGGATGATACAACTGTCCTGATATCATAATGAAGTTCAAGTTGTCTTCAATGATGAAAATGAATTTAGGTTTTTTTTAGAGCATAAAGCAAAAAATGTTTGGATGATACAACTGTCCTGATATCATAATGAAGTTCAAGTTGTAAAATGAAAGTGAAGTGAAAGTGACGTGACATGTGGCCAAGTATGGTGACCCATACTTGATTTTTGCTGCGGCGCCCGGGGAGCAGTTGGGGGTTCGGTGCCTTGCTCAAGGGCACCTCAGTCATGGTACTGAAGGTGGGAGAGAGCGCTGTACATTCACTCCCCCCACCTACAATCCCTGCCGGGTTACCCTTTGGGTTACGAGTCCGACTCTCTAACCATTAGGCCACGACTTCCCCCAAATGTATGCTGAGTTCCATTTACCTCAGAAGTATGATGTCGGAGTTGGGAATGACATCACATCCGAGTTGACCGCGTTCCAGTACACAGGTCAGAAAACCAAGACGGACAAGTCCAATGTTAGCAATACCAGTCAATAAAAACAGATATAAAAGCGGTATCACATCCACAGGTTGGACAGTACTGTGTGCACCACTGAGTTTAGTGAGACACAGACAAACAGAAGTGCTAATAACAATATATTACTAGTTGCTTATATATTAATTGTTGTAGTTCCTGCAAGTTTCTGAGTCGGAACTCGACTTGAGTAGGCATTCCAGTCAAAAGTTTGTACTGAGAACTCGGAACTTCTGACTTCAAATCGCATTCCCACATGCGTGCATTCACACTTCGCTCTTTACAATGCATTAATCCAAGTATGACATCATTGGTTCTCGTAACTGATCGAGATGCATTCTCATTTCCCTTTTGGCACAGAAGCCTCATGCCTACTGCAGTCACTACACACTAAATTTACAGCTGACTAGCAGTTTGATTCCATTTCTTGATTGTGACAAATTAGCTCTGTTGTTTGATTTCAATTGAGTGTAAGAGCCAGGTAACTGCGCCTGGACATCTGGCAGTGTGGCAAGTGCGTGCCAAGTTTATTCAGTGACGCTAATGCACCTGATAATTGTTGGTAAATTGTAAGCACATAGAGCTGCAGTGAAGAAACGTAATGCTGAGTTTGGTCTAACGTTTCTGAGGTTGAATTCTGTCCAAGCGTCATTTGGGCTTGTAATGTCTTTGTGCATCTGATCTCCGTCCAAAGTGTCACAGTGTCTTCCACTGAGTGAGTGACAACCAAGCAAGCGGCACGAATGGAAATGATTATAACTGTTTGAAAAATGATATTGCTATTTATGCTCTGCCTGCTAATTCATTAGTTATGGTTTTTGCTTTCGGACCTAGATTTTACTTTGGACATCAAGTAGCAACCCAACACTACCAAAATCATCAAAAATGTTCTAAAAACTCAATAAATGGTAAGCTTTTTCTCCTCCATTTTCAAAAGTTCATAAGTCAATTTATTTTGCTATCATAAACATGCATGCTTATATAAATAATTTTGGTTACACTTTATTTCGATAGTCCACTTTAGACATTCTATTAACTATAAGTAACTTTGTAACTACATGTCAACTACATGTCAACTAATTCTCATTAATTTGCAACTACATGTCTACTAACTCTCAGAGTAGACTGTTAGGGTAGGTTTAGGGTTAGTAGAATAAGTTGACAAAGAAAGTGTTAGAAGATATTAAGCAGACAGTCTACTAATACTCTACTAACTGCTAGTTGACATGTAGTTGCAAAGTTACTTACTGTTAATAGAATGTCTAAAGTGGACTATCGAAATAAAGTGTTACCATCATTTTTAATAGCGTTTAATATCGTTTCCCTGCTGTATATAACTCTGTATAAAATCCTCCTCAGAACTGAGCTTCAGTTGGTTTTTGGGTCATGAACCATCACTTGAGGACCAGTCTGCTATCACACCTGTCCCAATTAACACAGACTACTTGATGGGTCAGGAATAATCCTACTTGTATCAAGCAAGGTAAAATTAGATAGCTCTTGTTTGTTTGTAATAATGTGGCATTCTCTGGTGACTAGGGATGTAACGATTAACCGCGAGCCGGTTGAAAATCGATTCAAATACGTGACGATTCAAATCGATTGAGATGCTAAACAAATCGCGATTCAATTAGGGGCAGGAGTTTATATGAATGTATGTCTGAGGGGAACTTACTGTCTTTAGAAAAGTTTAGATGGTATTTT